CATAACCCAACTGTCCATCATAACCCCTGCCTGCCAGGGTGGGGGTCCCTCAGCCTATCAACCCTCACCTACTGCAGGATGCCTCCTGCAGACACTCCCACCCCACCCCCCTTATCATATTGATACATTCCATAGCAATAAATGGGCCCCCATATTCTGACATTTCCAAAGTAGGAGAGTTACCTAAGAATCCTGGGTTTCTAAATGTCTTCCTCTTTCTCACCTGACCTATCTCCTTCTTAGCCTTTTTCCATTTATGGACATTTATGAAGACTTAGAAACAGAGTTCATCAAAATCTAGATTTTTTTTTTCATTTAGGAATTTCCAAGTCCCTGAGAAGCTATTGGAAACAAAAGAGTACAGGGGGAAAGTGAGGGCTGATGTTGACAGATGACCGAAAGGTGACGGTTGGGTTTCTCGTTCCATATTCTCTGCAGGCCGAGGATGGAGCACTTTTTTATTTCTGAACTAGAAAGGCAGGCAGGTGCTGCACCCTGGATCGTGCCTCTGCCTCTAGGCAGAAGCACGCAGTGGGGAATCCTAACAGGTGCCACCTCCACCCAGGCAGAGGAGGGGCCCTGACCATCATCCACCCTAGTCTCCAACCAGGGCATAGGCCACTGCTGATATGTGATGTGTGAACTCTGAGGGTCAAGGGGACAACAGGGCCATAGACCAGGTGGGGTGGGAGCATAGTTTCTGGGGAAACTTCAAAAATCAAACTACCCCTGCACCAAGGATTCTCCAGTGCTGTCCTTGGTTGTGGAGGTGGATGAGATATGGCTGCTTACTTGGGCAGGGGTAAAACAGAGTCAGGGAATTCTGGAACCCCAAATCTGGGTGCCCTGTAAAGGATCTGACACAAAATACATACTCATTAAATAAATGAACGTCTGAACCCGACACTAGACATGATGAATATCTTGGAGAGTCACTGTCAACCCTGCCTCCCCAGGGCCCTGGACTGCAAGTATTCTCAGCTGAACGTCTGCCAGACAACTTCCTGGAAATGGGTCCCAGATGGATCAGATTACACAGTGAAAGTTCTGCTCTGCACCCTCTAGCATGGCCCACCCTGTGGCTCAGGGGGTCTCCGCAAGTAGAGCAAACTGGAGCAAAGTAGGGAAGTGTTGAGCAGAGAGCAGGGCCCCAGAGCCCAGGTGGGGTTGAGACAGAGAGCCAGACATACGGGGCACCTGAGCCAACTCTCCTTAGTGCGAAAAGCTCTGAGCTCTCCTTGCCTCCTTCCGGCCGTCTCCCAGGTGCTCCAGAGATACCTGTGTTAGGGGGACCCTGGGACAGCGGACCTTCCAGGCTAAAACTCTGTTTCTGCTCTAGGAAGGGTCCTTGGAAAAAGGAAAACTACCATTTTTAGGCCATGCCTAACCCAACTCTGAGTTCCATGACTTATAGACACCATCCTACAGAGGAGGAGATGGACTGCCGTGGGTTAGCAATCTACACACCTGGTAAACAGGGTGCTGGGTCTGGAATCCGGGTTCCGACTAGAAGAGCCAAACCCAGGGCTACTCAGTGCTGTGCCCCTGGCCCCCAAGCAGCTCTCATGCCCAAGCCCTGGCTGCCACATCCGGCCATTGCACCACACTGCTCCAAGGGACTTCTGGGGGCTCACCTAGGCCACAGAGGAGGCACAAGGACCCCAGGAACAGCAAGCCCCAACATGTGCACACCACTGGTGCTGGCAGAGGTGTAAAGGCAGAGGCACAGGAGGGCCTTGCCATCTCTTGGGACTTCGGGACCTGCCCTCAACGTGGCCACCCTTCCTCCTTTGTGCTTCCCCTGTGTCCATAGGGAGGGTGGGGTTGGGATGGAGAGGGATGGTGCGGTGGCACAGGAGAAAAGTGGTTTATAGGAAAACAAAGGAGGTGCCACTTTTAAAACACGGACCCTAGCTGCGATGAGAGCAAGTCGTGAGGACACGTGCCTCTCACAATGTGCCTCTCACAATGTGCCTCTCACAATGTGCCCCAGCACCCAAGCAGAAGCGTGGTGTGATGCGTGAGCAGCTGGGAGTGGGGCTGGCCTTGGGGTGTGGGAGGGAAGGAGGGAGCGACAGGAACAGGTGGTCCTTTCATGAGCTCCGGGCCATCCCTGACACAGCAGCTGTCCTAGAAACTGGCCCAGGTGGACAGAGGGAGGAGCACCGCGGGGGGCGCGTGATGTTTTGCAGAGAAAGAGATGAGCTCTCCCTAATGGGCCCTGCACATCTGAGCAGGGGGAGACACGCGGGGAGCTGTGTGACTGAGTCACTCCCCCCCAACGGACGCTGGCTGTGCTGCTCCAAATGTGGCCACCAGGGAACCTCCCAGGTCCAAATCCCCAGGCTTCCCGAACAGCCTGGCTGCCGCGGTAGCAATGACAGTTAGGAACATTTAGTAAGCACTTCTTCTGGGCTCTATGTTTAAGGCTATCATTGCCTTTGTGTCACTTGCTCCTCAACTAACCTCTGGAGAAGACACTCTGACTGTCATTCTACAGAGGGGGAAACTGAGGCAAAGCTCAGTTAACTGAGGAAGACACAGAAGGACGGAGCCAGGGTGTGATCCCGGGTCGTCTGACTGCCGCATCCACGCAGTGTCCACTCACTCTGCAGCCTGCCCCCTCCCCTCTCCCATCTCCCAGGGTGGCAGAAGGTGCTTTCCTGCCCTGAGCTTGGGCTCACCCCTTACAGTTCAACGTGGTCTTCGTTTCTCAGGAGGGGTCAGAGGGAGCAGAGGAAAGGACTTCCTGGGTGCTGTTTACAGAAGGTCAACCCTGCAGCTTTTGGCTGTGGGGCCCCTCTCCAAGAACCTTTGTCCCATGTCTAACCATGGTCTGCCCACTTCTCCAGCAACTATGAAGTCCTAGCGCAGAGATTGGGATCCATCTCCTAAGTGTAAGCTCATCCAGCGCTCACTGCAAACCCACCAGGGAGGCTTGACCATGCTGGCCCTTCTCCACCACCAGGGCTCCTCTTTGTCACCCATCTGTGCACTGCATGCTCTATAGATGCTGCCCAGGGCTGCGAACTGGACGCTCCTTTCTGCTCCAACGACAGCCTCTGCCAGTCAGTGGCTATTTCTGCAACGACAGTCTATAAGCAGGTGATCCCCAAACCCCTCTCTCTGGACTCTACGAGGGTTGCAGATTCACATTTCCACCAACAAATGAGGTGTCTTTATACTTGTCCCAAATTAATCCGGTGTCTTGTACACAGCACCACATGGACCAGGGACATTAATTAATAGAGTCTCAGCTGCTTTTCAAAGAAATCTCACCCATAGTCAGTGATCCTGCACGTCCCTCCCTCCTATTTGTTCTAATCTGGTCTCTAGAATGGCCCCCTCCTCCACACAAACACTGTTGCCACCCTCTCACATCCTAACTGGCTTTCCCCTCTCTTCCTTGTCCTACACTCTAGTACCAGAAAAAGACAAATCAGAGCATGCCATTCTATACCTTTTTTTTTTTTTTTTTTTTTTTAGGTACCAGGGATTGAACTCTGGGACTCTTAACCACTGAGCCACATTCTCAGCCCTTTTTCGTATTTTTAATTTTGAGACAGGGGCTTGCTAAATTGCTTAGGGCCCCACTAAGTTGCTGAGGCTGGCCTGGAACTTGTGATCCTCCTGCCTCAGCCTCCTGAGCTGCTGTGATTACAGGTGGATGTTACCCACACCCAACTTTATCTTTTACTTTAGAAACCTCCAATGTCTCCTACCTCCCCCAGGGTCATACCAAAATTCTTTATCAGGGGACTCCAACTGTTTCACAGTCTGGTTCCCAGCAGTTGCTCCTGTCATCTCCTCCAGCTGCCCCCCAACCCACTGTCCAGTCATGGTCAACAAAATTCCCCATCAGTATTCCCTGTAGTTTACCCATTTGCTTTTGCACCCATTTGCCATGACCTGGACCGACCCTCTCCTTTTGTCCAGTAAACTCCTATTCATCTGACAAAACCCAACTCAAAACTCCAAACCTGAAATGCTTAGGAGTGAATCTCAGACATGCCTCACTTCCTTTCGAGTGCTTCAGCTGTATGTCTTTATGTCTATGTCTACTTATCTGTATAGCAGGAGACCAATATGGCAAATGGTTGGATCTAGGTGGTATTCCTTGTAACCACCTCTTAACTACTTTGTATGCTTGAAAATTTTTATAATAAAAAGCTGAAGGAAAAGCCTTTAAATTCTTCTCATTGCCCCCCCCCCAGCCATGCAAATTACCTCTTTCTCCGCTTCCCTAATAGTGAATATTTGCCAACAGCTTTATCACATTGTATCATAATTATGTGCTTGGAAACTTTCTCACATAAATTGTGCAAACCATGGTATTGTACACAGTAGGCATTCAGCAACTGCTGATTTGCCTGAACAAATGTCCTCCCTTGTGAGGTGGTACTTGAGGAGAAACAAGCCACAGAATAGGAAGGCACCAGAATCACCACGCGCGGCCAGTTATTGCTTCGTCCTCCATGACAAGATGCAGATGAGCACAGGAGAGTCCTCGTGGTGTGCAAGAAAGAAAGATAATCAATTGCTGTTTACTGAATGAGAGAATATAATTTAAAACTCAGGAAGTCTAGCTCCGGGACTGCTCTATAATTAGCTAGCTCTGTGACCCTGTGTATTTCCTAACCTCTCTGTGCTTTAGTTTCTCTCACTGGTTAACAGGGAGTAGTTATGTCTGTCTTACCTAACAAACAGGGGAAAGTACTTCAAAGTGCTCTGAGACCTTTGCCCTGACCAGTGAAGAATCCTGAGTCACTAGGGCTGGGGGGCCGGGTGGGGGGAGATGCTTCGCTTCCATGAAGGGTGGGAATTTCCACAGAGCTGGAAGTAATGTGGCTGGGCCTCATCTTGTCCCACCCCCGCTTTCCCTTTCCTCTGACCAAGTGATGACTGCTGGGAAACGGACAACACTGGGAATCTTAAAATAGAGCAGCAAATATCCACGGCTCACAGGCCAGGGCTCATTGCACCATCAGCCGGCCCGCTCAGTATACACACGGGCTCATGTGGCCTCCGGCCCTCTGCTCCGGAAAAACCAAGGCCATGGAAAAAGTAACGCAGGCCTTTCAGAGAAGAGCCAGCATCCAAGAATGCAGTGTTTGGGTTGGCTGCCCATCTGCAGCCCTCGGGAGAGATGCTCTGCTCTGATGCTCCGGTAGGCTCCGAGGCCTGGTCTCCCCGAAGAAGTGCCTTTTCCTGGAAGAAGTGGCAGTCCCACTGGCCCTAGCACACTGGGTAGAGGTGTGTATTTGGAGGGGTGGGGGGTCCCATGACTCAATGGTTTTAGAGAAACCTGACTTCCCAGGGAGTGCTTATAAAACAAAACATGATGGTACCAAGTGCCCCAAAGTGGAGACCCTCCATAAAGCCGGGGCCCAGCAGATCCAAAATGCCAGTTTGGTAAAATTACAGGCTGACTCTAGGGTCGGGTCACTGCCAAGTATGAGGTTTGAAGCTCCCGAAATCCAGAAACAACTGCTACTCCTCTGAACTTCTAAGCCCACCCATTCACAAGCACTCCATGCCCAGCAGCCCTTGCTCTCATTAGCTGGTTTAATTCCCCCAGTTCTACAGTGGGCAGGCGCCACTGTCTCCCTGCTGTGCTCACACACACACACACACACACGCATGCACACAGAGGCCCACAGCCTCACCAGGCCAGGCCGGATCCTGACCACCACACTGTGCCAAGCAGCTTCTGGGGGCGGCCAGTGGAGGGGCATGGCAAGGAGGGCAGCTGAGGCCCGTCAGGAGCTCGCATTCTGGAAGAGAAGACAGATAATGGGCAAGTACCAAATTGGCAAAATGTTACAAAGGATGGTTAATGACGTGAAGGAAACAGAGTGTGAAAAGGAGAACTACTTTGAGTAAGAAGGTTTGGGAAGGGTACTGATCAAGTTTCTGTTGCTAAGGGCAGAAATGGACTTTCTCTAACTGAAAGAGAAAACAAACAAAACAAACTCTGGTAAGGAGTTTGAGCGGGATGGGCCACCGATTTTTTCAGGGTATCTAAGAATACAGACAAGAACAAAGGGAAACTTGGTAGCCAAAAATCCCTCCCCCAAACCACTTTGATGAGGGCCCGATGGGTGCCACAGCTGAAGCTAGACACCTCGGCCTACTCTACAATAACACAGGAACTCCCCAGACAGCCCTGTGGCTCTGACACCCGGAAATCAGATGCAGCAGCCACAGACAACCACAAAGCGGATTCTCCATCACCCCATTTCTTTGCATCACCAGCTCCTGACTCAAGGTCGCGGGAGGGTGTGGGGGGGTCTGTCTGCCACCTCATACTTCTGACATAGAGTTCAGACCATGGGCACTGTTCCCACTCTGCTGAGCACGCAAACCTGGATGTAGGATAGCTTGGGGTAGGAAGTAAAGGGTATTGATAATCCATCCACTCTCATTGACGCAACACACACTCACACACACACACACACACACACACACACGCACGCACATTCAACCCAGTTTGGCTGATGTAGCCTCTTCTCCTACCCCCAATAGAATTTCAGTCTCTCTTGCAGTAAAACTAATAGCTACTAATTTTGAGCGCCTATTAGCTGCAAATCCTTCACAGACACCATACCTACCTCCTTGTAAGGTAATGACGCTCTCCATTTTCAGATGCAGAATCTAAGGCTACTGAAGGTCAGGACTTTTGTCCTGGCTCTCTGCACTAAGTGGCAGAGTCCAAATTTGAACTCAGATTCTTTATGCTCTCAGGAGCACAAGGTCCCTCCCAAGGGAGGGCTTGGCAGGAAGGGCCGGTAGATTACCGGCAATGAAGTGATCCCTAACTCCCCTGGAATCCTGGCCATGATACACAGGAAAAAGGATAGCCCAGTCCATATGGGTTTAGGCCAAAGATTCTACAGCCCCTACCCAGTTAATTGCCCTGATGCCCTGACCACTGCAGCTGTCCCTGCCTCCTGGGTAAGTGAGCTCCAGGAGCCTGCTGAGCCTGCCTGATAAGCCTTCATAAAGGCTCTTGGGAGTCTGCCCTTTGGGTTCACACTGCTACAGACAGGGCTTGCTGGACAGCAAACACAAGACCCCTGACACTGCCCAAGAGTTGCGTGAGTGTGAATCCATTCCACGCTCAAGAGCTTGCCCCATCATTCCAGAAAGTGTTGATCAGCGAGCTGCTCTTCTGCTCCCATTGACAACGGGGCACTTCAGCTGACAGTTCCATTGCTCCCCCTCTTCCCTACTTTTCTCAGTGAGCAGATTCATACACCCATATTTAAATGTACCACTGTTCATAGAGTCCCAAGGGACATGATTTCATAGAGTGAAAAAAATTGCATTGGACAAGAAAGATCATTCCTTTTGTGAATTGTGAATTGAATTTTTTTCTTCTTTGTTTTTTGTTGTTGTTGTTTTGTGGTGCTGGGGATTGAACTCAGGGCCTTGTGTATGCGAGGTAAGCATACCAACTGAGCTATATCCCCAGCCCTCTTGTTTTTTCAGTCACGTTGCATGTATAGGCTTAGCCATCTAGTAAAAAATCAGTCCTTTAAAACAGGGAATTTGGTCCTAGAGAGTGGAGAGAGATAGAGAGAGGCAGGGAGAATGAGCATGGACTTCTGGAACTTTCTATTAGTGGTTACTTGTGGGCTACCCAGACAACCTTTTAGGACTCAGTTTCTCTCTTTGCAATATAGAGCATAGAGTCTTTTGTATATTTCACGAGGCTGCTGTGAGATCTTAACGAGGCTCTCTTTAAGGCTTCTTGGGGATCAGTACAGGTATTATTAGAATGCAATCTGCAGACTCTGGCCTCCAGTATGATGAAGAGGTTGCTGCCATCACTTGCTAAGTGCTCTCCCCTGGGCCAGCTTTCTGTCTACCAGAAGTGCCAGTACCTGAGTCACTCGTAGCAAGGAGGGCTGGCATTGCATCATTCACGCTTTTTCCAAGGCCTCAGCAACCAGACAAGCATAAAGTGAAGAGGCTGAAGATTGCCCCTGCTGCCGCTGCCGGAATCTACGCAGAAGTGTTTTCCCTGTGGCAGCAGACAGCTGCTGTTTTAGGTGTGAATCAAACATGCAAACCCCTGGAGATTTGTCTTTCGCTTCTCTGAGACACAATTTAGCAGAACTGCTGAAAATATGGTGACACATTGCCTCAGCACTGGGACTCTGAGGGAGATGGAGGAGGGGAGGGAGGGCTCCTTCATACCAGGGCTCAGGAGAGTGTCCAGTCCTATCACCATCCCCCTGGGTGCCTCCCTGCCCAGACTCCATCTCGTATCCACCCCACCTTTCTGGAACCATCAGACAGATCCTGCCCCAGATAGCTGAACCAGTCCATGTGTGCATGCATGTGAATATTCGTGCCCACATGTGTGTGATTCCCGAACTGAACGACTGAAATTCTCTCCAAACACATCAGCAATTTCAACTGCATTTGTTTGGTTTTTCTGTTGGAGGGGTGGTGATGCCCTCAACCATGCACAACTTCAATGGAAAGAAAGGTTCGGTGGCCTCCTCCAATGATGGATGCAGGGAAGACCAAGACTACAGAGGTGGTTTGCAGCCAGGGAGCTACAGAAGCCTACCCAGTTTGGGGCCTGGGAATTTCTTTCATGTCGTCATTATTTGATACACTTGGACTTAGCTTATTCACAAATGTGCATATGAATCTCAGCCCACAACTGCTATTTTCTTTATTTCCCTTGGTTACCCTAAGTTTTTAATCAGGGCACTCTAAGTTCTCCATCATTCCACAGACTGCTACAAAGGCAATGAATAAATTAAACAAGAAATCAGACTTTTACAAAATACCTCTCTATGAATGGAACAGGGTCATGAGGCTTTTATATAAAGCCGAGACACAGAGGAGCAGGCATGAGTGGCCCCCTGGTCTTTGGCCTTCCCTCCACACAGGTTTCTGCTCCGACAGTCAATCCCCATCCAAAACTCCTTCAGGCCCAGGGGCTGTCTGCCGCTTCATTCCTTCTCTTGGTCATTAGGAGTCTTTTGCAGCAATGTCTTCGGGTTGTCATTTGTCCTTCCAACCATTCTTCTCTGGGCTTGTGCTGGTCTCCCAGGGACACTTCTAGAAATTAGGTCCCTCTGTTTTGACAACCTGGAAACTCTCCACACCTTCCCATCACAGCCCCTGGGACATCTCTTTTCAATGAAGAGCTCAGAAATCTCTGCAATCGTTCGCTCCGGAGAAGAGACTAACGTTTGGGGTTCCCTGTGGAAAAAAACAGCTGGTTGCCCCCAAACACCTCAAACTCACACAGAGCTTCCAACATGTTCCAATGTCAGGTTCTTAAATAAGAGTGAATGACCAAGAATCACCAGACCTTAGAGCAAAGCCTCAAGCTTGAAAGAAAGGGGTGAAAACCAACCTAAATGCAGGGAGCAGGAAAATAAAAGGTAAACAAACTGGGCTGGGATGTCGTTCAATAGTAGGGCACTTGACCAGCATGCACAAGACCCTGGGTTCCATCCTCAGCATGGTAAAAACTAAAAGGCAAATGAAATATAACAAAACTAAACTTATCCTCAGGAAAAAAAAATAGGACAAAATATTGCATCTATGAAACAAGAAGAGAATTTTGTTTTCTAAGGAACCAGAAAAAAATTATGAGCTCTTGGAAATTAAAAATATAATACCAACAAAAATCAACTAATATGTTCAAAGGTAATTTTGGAGAAATCCTACAGGAAGTTGGAAAAAAAGATAAAGGAAGGGACAATAGGAAAGAATAAATAAAATTATAGGACAAAGCCAAGAAGTCTCGTTTCTATAGGAATGCTAGGAAGAAAAAACAAAGTGCAAGAAATTATTAAAGAAATGATACAAGCAAACTGTCCCCAAGATGCCAGTCTCCAGACTGACAAAGACTACCACTACCAAGAGCTCACATTGCATATAAAATTCCTGCCTCGTAATAAATTCATAACCCTGGGATGCACAGGGGAAGTGGAACAGGCCACAAGCTAGGGACAGGAAACAGATGATGCGGAAATCAGAAGACAAAACATATTAACACCCCCCCAAGTTCTTCAAATGATCGTCAACCTGGAATTCTGTGCCACCCAAATCAAGAGCCAGCAGAGAATAAAGAATTTTGGTCTGAAATGTCTCGAAAAAATATACCATGCACCCTTTCTTAGCTACTCTGAAAAATATATTCTGTTGAAGTAAAGACCATGAAACAAGAAGACTGAGATGGAAGAGAGGATCAGCAGACAAGAGACAGACCAGAGGAAAGGGCAAGAAAACAGCTAAACAGCATATGGGGTCCGAGGGCTCCAGGGAGACATCTGAGAGAGGAAATGTTCATCTGACAGGCTGACAATGTGGCAATATTATTGAGCAGTGTTTCACTGAGCGTGGGAGCATGTGGGAGGACTTAGGTATGGACAGAAAACTAAACAAAGAAAAAAGAGGCAATTATTAACTCCAGGAAAAACAAAATAATTGTGCAAGAAGGGATTTGTAAATTAGAATGTATTATTTGGCTTAATAGTAAATAATATTTATACAACTGTTGTTTCAGGGGAAAAAAAAAAACATGGTGCAGGAAAACTGGGTGCTAAAGATAGAGGTGGAGAAACCCAAGAAAGAGGCAGACAGATCCAGGATTGCATGGTGTGATGAATTAGGGACTTACAGACAAAAGTGTACCAGCAAAACAGGATTCCCACACTCCGAGGCAGGAGGAAGGGGTTTAAATACTAAGCAATACCAAGGTGCACCACAGCCAACTGGAATGTACCTGGGCTTTCTCAAAAACTATTACTAGGGCCTGAGGTTGCAGCTCAGTGGTAGAGCCCTTGTCTTGCATGTCTGAGGCATTGGATTCGGTCCTCAGCACCACATAAGAATAAAATAAGTAAAATAAAGGTATTGTGTCCATCTACAACTAAAAAAATATTTTTAAAAATATTATTATGCCAAATGTCAGTTAAGAAACAGTTAGGGGAGTCCCTAGGGTCCCTAGTGTTGCATGGAAGTATAATCTGGCTCCAGGTCCAGGACAGAGCAGCTTCTCTGGCTGGTGATGGATTTGGACTATGGGATGGATGAAAGGGCGGACAGAAAAGGTGAGGTCCTGGGCTACAAGGGAGCTCATTCAATCTAGAAGAGCTCAGGCTGCCGTGGGAGAAGGGCAACACAGGAGAGGGTAGAGAGGACCAATTGCCATGGCAACAGGAAAGTCTTCCTTTGCCACTGAGGCAAAGGGGAATTGGAGGGGGAGGGAGCCAAGCAGGGTGCAGGGACAGGCCAAGCAAATGGAGACCTTTGCCAACCATCAGTTGTGTCCTTTCCAGCCCATCGTACACTAGGCAGCAAAATTCTAAGTGAGGAAATACAAGATTCACTTCTCAAGGACCCAGCTGTGGAGGTGAGTCACAGAATTATGAAGTGTTTTCATTGTGCTCCTGTGGGTAGGTGTGGCTGAGGTGTCCCCATCAGCAGGTGAAAGCTGCAAGTCCCTTCCTCCAGCAGGCAAATACCAGACACCGCAGCCGGCTGGAACCCTGAGAAAGCTCCAGGGAGGAGGTGGACTGCCGGGTGTCGGTCAGCCACTGAAAGGCTCAGGGGTCACTCCAGCTGAACTGGGCTGATTGGGCTGCATGAAATAACCACACAAGAGACACAGATACCTTTTTCTTTGGGGTCACTGTGACGGCTCCTCTGACCTTAAGGGTCTGCAGGAAGAGAGAGAGTGAGAGCACGCGCTGACCCCTTCTATTGAGGAGAAGTTATTCAAATGAGGCAAGGGGCCAGGTTTCAGGGGGCTGAGTCTATCTTAATGATGCCCACTGTCATCAGGTTGACTGACACCTGGTAGGCCACACCCAAGGACAGAGTAAGAGAAGGGGACACACACCACACACAAGGCACTTCCATGGAAGATTCTATCCTAATCAGGGCAAGGGGTTATATTACAAAGGAACAGGTGAGCGTAGCTCCACTCTCGGGGCTGTAGCAAGACACACCCATGCATGAGACACCGACCCTCGGACCCAAGAAGGGTGGGGAAAGCTCTGCCACATTTCTGCGACTGAGCACCTCAGCACCCAGCTGGGGAGTAAGACCCAGTCACGTGCAAGGTTGGTCTCCCACAGTGGACCTTGGAGTATGGACAGGATTTAGACATTTAAGGGGTGATCTTTGAAATATCCAGCAGCTAGATATTATTCGTTGATATAGTTCCACTCTCAGTCCTAACCCAGAGCATGCAGAAGACTTTTTACTTAATCGAATTGGATTCCAGGTATAGGGAATGGTATAAATAATGGCCAGGGATGGAAAAGGGTGTGGTTGTATATGAGTAGAAGCCACCGGTAGTGATCCTGTTTAATAAGAAGGCACGAAAGGAATCAACCAATGAAAAGACGGGTTGGAGGAGGACGTTGAGGCCAGCACTGTAACTTAGGTAAAAGTGATAAAGTGATAAAGCTGACATTCTCATCACCAGATGTCTGACTCCTATGTCAAAGGGGCTAGAACTCAGGAAGTGGGTAGAAAATAGAAGTGTGAGTTATTGGTTCCTTCCAACACTTCCAATAACTGACCCGAGAGCTTCCTCACCAGTACAGTGGAGTTGATGGTAATGGCTGTCTCACAGGGTTTGGTGAAGATCACAAAAGATAGGATGCTAGAGTTTCAGTAAATGTTCGCTCCCTTGACTTCCATTTTTTGAAGTCCTCTTCTTCAAGCGCATCCCTATGAGGGCAAGCTCTCCATCACTCTGTGGGTCTAGCACGTACCTGGATGTTCTGTCAGGGCTGAAAAGGTAGAAATGACTGTCGAAGGAACTCCCAGCTACTGACTTAATTTCTGCCCATATTTTTAAAAACAGGTTTTAACAGATAATCAGCATGCAACACACTGGATATTAAGTGGTAAGTTCAATAAGTTTTGACCTAAGTAAACCTCGGTGGAATCATCACAATCAGAACAGTGAGCATGCTCATAGTCTCCCATGCTGTTCTGGAATCTCTGCCTCCTTTTCCCAACTCCCAGCCTCAGGCAACCACTGGTCTGCTTTCTGTCACTAAGGATTAGTTTGCATTTTTTTAGAATGGAACCATACACAACTCTCTCTCTCTCTCTCTCTCTCTCTCTCTCTCTCTCTCTCTCTCTCTCTCTCTCTCTCTCCCTCCCTCCCTCCCTCCCTCCCTCCCTCCTCTCTCTCTCTCATCTGTTGGCCCGGGTTTTTGAAGAATGGTCAGCAGTCATCATGAAATAGTACATGCATGCTGACCTTAGATTGGAGAGGCCAGGGCCATTGTTCTTTGGGCAGTAGCCTGTGACTTTAAACAGGTCATGTGGCACTGTGCCTCACATGAGTCAGTTAGGGAATAATAATGTCTGCACTACTTCACAGATTCATTTGTGGTGGAAAAACTTCATAAAGTCTAATACTAAAAAAATGTAGAATACATCTGCCTGTGTAAGTAGTCAGATGATATTTGGTAATAGTAACCTATTATTTTTTCCTACCTAAAAAAAAAAATTTGTTTTCCTTCCTCCATTCAAGTAATTCCTGTGTTTTCCTGTGAAACAGATACCCTCCATTCAAGTAAATAACTAACTCTGTTAGCTTATTTTGCCCCAGGAAGTATTGTATGGAGTGGAAAAACATAAATGGCCTGCAGATATTCCTGGCTTTGGACTCCCTAAACCCCAACCCTTGAGAAGGATCCAGGTTTGCAGGAAAGCAAGAGGGGTGTGTGCTTCTCACACAGGGTGTTTTAGGGACTGGAGGGAGAGTGAGGGGAATCCTCTCTACAGGCTCTCAAACAGTCCCTGTCAGCACCCCTCACCCACCTCTTGCTCCCTCTCCTACCTGAGCCTCTGCGGGACTCTCCCGACCTGCCTCTTGTTGATGGAACAACCCCCCCACCCCCACCCCTCTCCTTCTGGGCTCAAGGTCGGCTTCCGTCCTCTGTCACTCCCAGCTGCTTTCTGTCTCCGTGTAATACAGATCTTATCTAGTTTCACTGAGCTCAAGTTTGTTTTGCCCACTTTTTATTTGTTATTTGTTCTACTAGTTATTTGTGGGTTGTTTTTCAGAGAAAAGAGTAGAGGAAAGGGCTTGAGCCGACTTCTTGAAAATGGATAGTAGGGATTCCTCTTCCCTAACATGTTTATTAGGCTTTTCTAAGAGCATGTCTTTAGGTTCGCAGCAAAATTGAGCAAAAGGTATAGATTTCCCATCTACTCCCTTCCCCCACCAATGACAGCCTCCCCGCTTATCAACATCTCCACCAGAGTGGTACAGGCATTGACCATCCTACGTTGGCCCACCATTACCATCCAGAGTCCATAGCTTACATTAGGGTCTGCTCTTGATGTCATGCATTCTGTGGGTTTGGACGATGTACAGTGTCATGCAGCCCCATTACAGGGTCCTACGAGTCATTTCATAGCCTTAAAAATCTCCTGTGCCCTGCCTCTTCACCCTTCCTCCCTACAACCCCTGTAAAGTGCTGACCCCTTCACTATGGCCACGATTTTGCCTTTCCAGAATATCACTGCCTAATATTGAGTGTCTGCTTTGTAGACAGCAAAATGCTCAGATTTTAACAGCATTAGCCCAACGAGTTATAGGAATGCATCCACCCACATAACCCACATCACTAGGGATATATGGAATGTTCCCAACACCCCACATGTCCCCTTGGGCCCCTCCCTCAGTTTCCTGCTGACCTTCCATCCCACCCCACTCCACTCCCAACCAGGCATCTACTTTTCTCATTTTTTTTTAAGGCCATAGATTAGTTTGCTTGGTCTAGAATTTCACGCAAATGGAATCATGCAGAATGTGGTCTTTGGGGTCTGGCTTCTTTCACCCAGCACGCTTTGGCTATTCATCCATGTTGGAGCATTGATCAGTAGAACATTCCCATTGATCAGTAGTACATCCGTAGTAATTATCTGGGTTGTTTCAAAGTCTTTCCTCTGTGAATAAAGCCGCTGTGAACATTTGCATACACGTCTTTGTGGACATGTTTTCAAGCCTGTGAGTGAAGTCTCTGGGTCACAGTGGAGCAATACATCGAGCTTTATAAGAAACTACAAAGCTGTTTTCTAAAGTGCTGTGTACCTTTTTGCACTCACACCAGCACTGTGTAAGAATTTCAGGCCTGCCACATCTTTGCCAACCCCGTTTGTGATCAGGATGTTCATTTTACACCTTCTGCTGGGCTTTTAATGGAATCTCACTGAGGGTTTTGGTGTTGTTTTTCCAAATGCTCCCAGTCCCTAGGAGAGCTTCTCAGAGCTCCGAGCAGGGGTCTCTCAGCACTACTTTTGGCTGTCATTTATACTCCAGAAATGCAGCTGTTTATGGGTAAGCAAAACCCGGTACAGGGCTTCAGGACAGTAATGTGGGTTTGCGTGTTTACAGAGGGTAGTAACTGACCCAGTGGGAGACTGCTCCCTGGAAAAGAGAAATATTAATACGTCACTTGTGGATTTAGAAAAGAGGTCTCTGAGGCCAGAAGTGGAAAATTATGTAAGCATTGACATCTATGGAATCTAGCTGTGTCCCCATAGCTTCAATGCTGTAGATAAAAATAATTTGGAGGCTGAGGATGGATATGAGAAAAGTTTCATAACTAAAAAGAAAAATGCACTGGGGGTTGCTATGGTTTGGGAGAGTGTCCTCAAAAGGTCTCTGTGTTAAAGGCTTGGTCTCAAGCATGGTGCTACCAGTAGAACCTCAGAGAGGCAGGGCCCAGTGGGGGGTCCTTAGGTCACTGGATTGCAGGATCCTGGCCTCTCGGTCTTTCTCCTTTGCTTCCTGGCTTGTGATGCAAGTGGTTTTGCTCCTCCACAGGATCCCACCCTGTTATGTTTCCCCAACCAGAGGCCCAAAGAATGAGGCCACCCAATCTTGGACTGGAAGCTTTAGAATCATGAGCCTAAACAAGCCTTTTCTCTTTATAAATTAATAACCTCAGATATTTCATTATAGCAATGAAAAGTTGACTGATATACAGGGATCTGGGGAACTGGTAAGGGCAAAAAGCTCTTTCAGCCAGGCGCAATGGCTCACATTTGTAATCCTAGCAGCTTGGGAGGCTGAGGCAGTTCACAAGTTCACAAGTTCAAAACCAGCCTCAGCAATGGCAAGGTGCTAAGCAGCAGCTCAGTGAGACCCTGTCTCTAAACAAAATACAAAATAGGGCTGGGATGTAGCTCCTTGATCTGGTGCCCCTGAGTTCAGTCCCCAGTACCAAAAAAAAAAAAAAAAAAAAAAGTTCTTTCAGATTCTGGCACCACTATTTATAGAACAAACTTTGACAACTGGTTTGATTTGCATTTCCCTAGTGAATGATTACGGGTCAGTTTTAAAATTTAGTTTATTGGGCATTTATGTACATTATTTTATAAAGTATCTGTTCAAGCCTTTTGATCAATGTTTTGATCAATACAAGACTATTATCAGGTGTATGTGATGCTAATATCTTTTCCCAATCTGGCTTCCTTATTTGTTTTAAAAGTGTCATTTTATGGGCTGGGGATGTGGCTCAAGCGGTAGCGCGCTCGTCTGGCATGCGTGCGGCCCGGGTTCGATCCTCAGCACCACATACCAACAAAGATGTTGTGTCCGCCGAAAACTAAAAAATAAATATTAAAAAAAGTGTCATTTTATGATCAGAAGCTTTCAATTTTGATGTAGTCTAATTGATCATCTTTTTCCTTTTATACTTTGTGCTTTTTTGCATCTTAAAAATTCTTTGCCCATCCCCAGGCCACGAAAGCATCCTCCTGTGTTCTTCTAGAAGCCTTATGGAAATGAGTGCTTTCTGAACTGGCCTCTGAGAAAGCCTCACAGGGCCCTGAGGAGAAAGGGTGAGCCCCAGCCGCAGCACCTCCAGCCCCTTTCATTTCCAGCTCAACTGAAGCCCCCTCTTCGTTTCATTTTAACTAAAATTTCATTCAACAAAACAACTTCCACTCTCTCTTTTTTTTTATCCACTCCACTAAACGATAAATTCCGTGAAGACAGGAACCACGCTTATATCATGTTCCTTTCTACCGTCAGCTAGGCCTGGGCATGTGGTGAACACTTAGTAAAAACAATTTTAATTGAAATAAATCAAACCGAATTTGGACTTGGAAGAGGAACTGTTTTCAATTTAGCCAATTCTTACATAAGACGTCTTCCTGAGAGTCCAATCTGGGTCAGGCTTCCAGTGGAGTGGGAGCCGAGGCCTCGCCTGCAGCCTCCATAGGAAGGGGTAATAAAAGCATCACCTTACACTTACGTAACCTTCGCTATTTATAAAGCACTTTCATATATCTTACCTCAAAAAAAAAAAATAGTTCCTATAGGTAAAAGGCCTTTGCCTGCTCACAAAGACAAGCAAGTACCCGAGAATGATCTGAGAGATGAGGAGAGGGAGAGGCAGCCCACATTTTGAACTAGGACAGAATTCTTGCCCCTCCAGTGCCGAGCAGGGCACCCAAAGGTGCCTTAATAAATCTCCCTTCCCCACAGATTCAGACCAATGTTTGAAGCCTCACCAAGCTTTACCTCTCAGGGTGACGCTTCCGCCCCATTACACCTGGGCAGACATCAGACCCCCGGCCTTCCCTCTAGTGGGCCAGGATTGGCAGCATGAAAAGGTCAGTAATGGCAGGGACATTTCCACCTAGGAAGCCGAGGGTCTCCAAAGGGCACCCTCCCAAGTCTCATAACTGCCTGGTCAGATTCCACAGAGGCCACACACACACACACACACACACACACACACACACACTGCCCACTGAGTTAGACAGGCAGGTGCCACTTGAGCTCAAAGGCAGCTGAACTTCCTGTCTGTGACAGCAGGCAGCACCCACCTCCATCAGCCGCCTCCACCCCCACTCTTGGTTTCCCCGCCCGTGGTTTCATTATGTATCTCTGGGTAACCCCATCTGACCCCCGCAAAAAAAATGACCTCAAGTCTCTTTCTTACGCAGGAAATGAATATTTGGAGATACACAATGATTAGATCCTATGGGCTTTTTTTTAAGTATTAGAAACTTATCAGTGCCTAGCACATAATAGTCACTCAGTCTGTTTTGGAAATAACTAGCAGATTTCAGCCCAGGCTTCCTGTCTGTCTCACAGAACCAGACTGAATCACGCAATCGGGCCTGGCTAAGTCACTTTTGGGGGAAAGGGGAGGCATCTTTCTAGGGTCAAGCCGAACCATAAAATCACCAACACATCCTAACTTCCCCCCCAACTTCCATCCCCATTAGAGTCCCCAGATGCTTTTCACTGGCTCCTTTTACCTTCTGGGCCAGCTTTGGTGGTCTCCCTCCCTTGGTTCCAGTGCTAAGACCTGTAGTATCTTGTCCAGTGTGTATGGGGATTGGGGAGCATGGGTGGGAATCAGGAAACCACCCCCAGCCCTGTGACAAATGTCGCCTGTCTGTCTCACCAAGGATCAGTGTTGAGACTCAAAATGATCCTTTTTGGCCAAGTTTGGGTTAGACCACTTTGCCTCTACCTGAAGCATATCATTCCCTGGGAGAGAAAATGGAGCTCTGGAGAAGAAGAGGAAGTAGGATTCAGATGCAGCAGACCTGTCTTGAAAGTCCATTCTTCTTCTCTCTCTCTCTCTCTCTCTCTCTCTATATATATATATATATATATATATATATATATATATATATATATATATTTTTTTAAGTTACATCATATGGATGCAGAAAGCAGGGCTAAGCTAGGCATGGTGGTGCACACCTATAATCCCAGAGTCTTTGGAGGTTGAGGCAGGAGGATCACAAGTTCAAAGCCAGTACGAGCAACTTAGTGAGGCATTCAGCAACTCAGCAAGACCTTGCTCTAAAAAATATATAAAAAATGGAGATGTGGCTCAGTGGTTAAGCACCCCTGGGTTCAATCCTCAGTACCGAAAAAAAAAAAAGAAGAAGAAGAAGAAGGAGGAGGAGGAGGAGGAGGAGGAGGAGAAGGAGGAGAAAGAGGCAGGGCTCAACCTGTGAATAAGTAAGAAAGTCAAGATTCTAACCTATGCTTTACAATTCCCAGTCCAAGGTTCTTTCCATTAAACCACAAATGCTGTCCCAGGTGTGTATTAGACAGTTTTTTGCTGCTATGATCAAAATATCTGATAAGAACAACTTAAAGGAAGAAAAGGTTTTTTTGGCTCATAGTTTCAGAGGTGCAGTCCCTGGTTTGATGACTCCTTGCTTTGGGCATGAGGTGAGGCAGGACATCGCAGCAGAAGGCTGAGACAGAAGAAGGCTGCTCATCTTTATGGCAGCCTGGAAGGGGCCATGGACCGACATGGTCCATGCCCTCAGGGACCCACTTCCTCCAGTCCTGCCCCACCTGCCTACGGTAATCACCCAGTTAGTCCATCCAAATTATTAATTCTTCATGGATTCATCCACTAATGAGGCTACCGCTCCCACAATCCAATTCGCTTCTGAACATGCCCTCATTGCAATACATGAAATTTGGGGGAAAACTAAAATCCAAACCATAACAAGGTGAAATCCTAGGCCACCTGCTCCAGCCTTCTCCTAGACTATTACAGGTCACACCAGTCTCTTTACCTGCTAAACACCAACAGGATGGCCACGCGTCTATTTCACCTGGGAGTGGACCTTCAGAAGGCCTGGAAGCTCCCCAGGCCCAAGAGTTGTGCCTTGTTCTTCTCATCTCCTGACAAAATGCAGGGCTTATAAGAAAATAGTCCACAGGGCACTTAACAGTCTCAGAACTTCTCATATACACTGTCTCTTTAACTCTGTGTAACATGAGAAACTATTTGCTCTGGGAAGAGAAGGAAATGGAAGGAGGTGAGTGATTTAGGGTTTAACTCTACAGTGTCAAAGCACTAAGAATCCTGAGTTGGGGCACCAAGGCAAAGTCCCTGCCTGACTGGGAGGATGGAGAGATGAATTTATTTCTTCAACACCTCCAGGTGAAAGAAGGTGCCTTTGTTGGTAGTGGTGCATATTATCTAATTTAAAGTAGTCCTGCAATCCCTATGATCGTATTTTTAATGGAGCTCAGTGCACAAAGCCCATTAATCTTTATAACCCTTGATCCATTTTATACTATCCTTATTGGTCCCTGCTTGGGTCTTGATAATTTATTTATTCTTTCTTTCAGTCATTTGTTTCAGTGATGTGATGAACAGACTTGAAACTATACACAGCTCAAGAACTAGAACACTGATCTTCATGTATATCTACTCACCCACTACTTCCCTCTCCTCCCCCTTGCTCTAGCTACCCAAGACCACCCCATGCCCCATCAATCACTTCCTTGCTCTCTTTAAGTCATATTGCACATGTATGAAAAAGTTAAAGTATATTCTTCATTTTTATCCTACTTTAATCTTCACAAAAGAACTTGCTCTTTCACACGTTATTTTTCTAAGTTCATCTAGAGGGACACTACAGTGTCACTATAGTCCCTTCATTTTCACAGCTATATGATATTCCTGTTAATGTGCCGCAATTTATCTGTTTCTCTTGTAAAAGCCTTCTGTGTGGTACCCAGTTTTTTGGATTACTACAATGCCGCTAAGAACCCTCTTGGTACATGGTTTCTGGTGTGCTCCTCTGTTTCGAAGATTCGTATACCAGCAGTTGGAACGGCTGGGTCCATATTACAGATGAGGAAACTGAGGCTTAGAGAGGTTAATGAAACTATTCAAGATCACTAGCAAGTAAAAAATCAGCATCAGGACTCGAAGAACAGAAATTTTCTGTCCTATGACCAACAGAGATGTGCGGAAAGGTGGGTCAGAGGCAATCAGAGTAATGAGGAGGGTCTCTCTGCAGGTTTATCTTGGGAACTTCTGTTTGCAAAGGTGCTGAGCATGCCATACATCTGTTTCCATATGCTTTGGCCTGTGCTGGCTTTACAGGGTGAGGGAACTGCTGGCTTTGGTTCTGATTGAAGAGTCCTTTGGTCATTTAACCACGGGCTGAGTGCTTTGTTATAGGAAGAGCTTTGTGGGCTTCGGGAACAGCCTCCTCCCAGGGCCTCCCCTCCCTCTCCAAGGCGCTCCCAGACAGCCCCAGGTAGGCACTCCTCACCCATAGCACATCCACACAGAGCCAGGGCCTCCTGGTTGCTCCTGCTCTGCCCATGATCCCAACTGCCCTCTGGCCCCACCTGCCCCACCCCCACCCCTGAGCACATGCCAACTGGGGGGAGGCCACCCACAGAGCCATTTAATCATCCCTGAGTGCAAGGCCAGGCTGGTGGTGTGTGCAACAGGAGGGGAAAACAAGACTCACAGCTGCACTGTGATCTCAGTGATGGGCAGACAGGCATTCAAATAAAAATTAGAATTATCGGGCAAATATGTCCGAGGCCAGCCAGCTGTTCCCTTCCCTCCGGCTCACAGGATTCTCAGATCCCTGCATATTGAAGTCCTGGCAGGGCCTAGAAAACCCCTCCTCCAGCCCCCTTAGGCTCAGGAGCAGGAGGCTCTTTCCCAAGCCCACTGACCTGCTCTCACCCACACCCTCATTTTCCAATGGAATTTGCTGAAGGTTTAAAGGGAGATTAGAAGAGACAGTGTAGGTTCCAATTGGAAAAACCATCTAGTATTGAAGCCCTACAGATAAAGGGTCAGGGAATTATCTTTGCCCAGGAAGAATGGTCCAGGGTCGCCTGAAATCACGGAGCCTTCAGGTGTCGATCCCAAATCCTGCAAGGGACAGCAGGGGCTGCCCGTCAAGGTGCTTCCGAGGGACTCTTCCCTCTGAAAGCTGAGACCTCAGTGGAGCTCAACAGATGCCCAGCTCTCCGTAGGTGTGGGCGAGGTGGCCTAGACAGTCAGGGCCCTCTTCAGGAAGACAAACACAGCCTCGGGGGTGGTGGGGGACGAGGCTAAGATTAGCACCATGCTGCCAAAAGCATGAGTCTGCAATCCCACCCGGCCTCTCACCTGGGTCATCAGGTAACCCCTGCAGAGCCTCACTTACCTTTCCTGTATCATGGGAATAACTCTATTCGCTATCTAGGGCCGTGGTGAAGATTAAACAATCTAACGTGTAAAATACAGGCATGTGACAGGGCTTCACAGTGGGGCCATCCCAATCCAGCAACGGAATGGCCCCTCCCCCACCAAGTCCTCGACTCACACTCAAGGTTAGCGGGTGCACCGCTCCCTTCCCCCTTCCCTATGGCCTGTTTCTTTCCACTCTTGATGGATGGTAAACGTGTACACAATGGCATTTTCTTCCATAGCTTTAGAGAGCATCTCCCTGCCCCCCACCCTTGCCCCCACCCCACAGACACACAGCAGCACAGATGCCCCAGGGGTGCTTGGCTCAGCTCAGCAGCCTGCAGGATAGGTTCCATGTGTCCTAGTAGAGGGACAAGCACAGGAGGCCAGAGTCCCTGAGTCCCTCCAAAGTGGCCAGGCCGCTCAGCCTGCTGCTAGCTGGCCTGGCTCTGGGACAGACCCTGCAGGGAAACAGGAGCAGGGGCAGGTGTTAGTGAGACAAAAAGGCCAGCAGGCTGGACAGCTGCCAGAACATGAGGGGCCCCGTGTGTGGGACCTGAGGTGAGGCCAGGGGAGGACACGTGACAGGCGCCTGGGCTACTACTGCACAGGGCTCACTCTGAGGCACTAATGGCCCATGCAGGAGGCGCTGAACACACCATGACGTCTCTCCACTGTTCCTCCAGCCCTTTATTCTTGGAGCCAGGCCTCCAGACTCCTGCTCAAAAGAGGGTTTAGCCCAGGCTGGTGAGCAGGTGGCCAGCAGCTGCTCCCTCAATAGAACAAGCGTGTCTCCAAGGCTGCAGAACAGGCCAGATGCCACCCCTCTGCACGAGAATGTTTCTTCCTGGATGGGACAAGTCCCTCCGCAGAGCCGTCTGCAACGGGCCATGTGCCAGCAAGAGGGGCGAGGGTCCCACAACTCCCCTGGCTACCTAGACACACCCTCCCCCTTTTCTTAGCAATGACTAAGTCAGGCATGAAAGGCTATTTGCCCCCTAGCAGGGATCAGTCCTCATGGGGCCTGCCCTCTCTTCAACCCCGCCATGGCCAAAGTGAGGGTGAGGTTACTTGTAAGCCACTACCCACATTCATTTGGAGTCGGCTGTCCTCCCTGTGTTGCAGGGAAAGGGTTTTTTCCTGATCCATCCTGCCAGTACCTCCTGGCTGCTGTGATTTCAATGCAATTAGGAACATGAGTATCCTAATCTCGAGTGAAGCCACACTTGAGAATCCCACTTCCGGGCTTCTCACCCCTTCCTTGCCATTTCCTGGAAGATGCTGCCAATGAAGGCCTGAAGCGTTGTGGGTTTAAATCATCCTTGCTTGTTGTTTACAGCTGACCTGACAAAGCCCTTACTGGAAAACCCCAACAATTTCATTTTTAGAACATATGATTAAAATCATTCCCCTTGACATTCCCACAAACCTACATATAGCTATTCTGTCTTCCATTTCAATCCATCTTGGAGCTGCTTTCACTGTCTCACCTAGTCTCTGAAGGTCCACATCACCACTTCCTGTGTTTCTCCAACATCTGCAGGTCAAAAGTGAGGCCGGGATAAGTTAGAGAAGAGCACACCCAAAGCGCCTGATCAGTTGATTTGGCTCAAGGATTTCTGCCAACTCAAACATCCAGATTATCTGTTTGTGTTTTGGTGCTGCATTGAAGAGCTAGCTCTGTGACCCATGAGTGATCCCTGTTATATTTAGCTCATAGGCCACCTAAGGAAAAGCACTAATGCCCTGGCTAGGGTAGAGCACCATCCTGAATGAAAGGCCCCCTGTCTTGGTCTCAGCTCACAGAGGTCCTGTTTTTGCTCAGGTACAGCCTATGTGCACCCACCTAGGTAGAACTTCTATTGCCAACTTCCTGGGAAGGATCAGACCCCAGACAAAATTGAGGCGCCTAGTGCTGAGATGGCTGTACATCAGGACCGGGACCTCCAAAGCTTACAGCTATGGTTTTTTGAGCATCTCTACAATACCAGGTCCTGCCCCAGATACTTTGCAAAAATCGTCTCTAATCCTTAAAAGAACCATGCCCAGAAATGTAGGTCTTATCACTCTCTTTAGTGCCTTCCTCTGATCTCACAGAGTGAGCACAGTGTCCGTGTCAACATTCCATCTCTGGCCTGTTCGCATCCAGATCCCATGTGCTTACCCATCACGTGGCTCTAGAGAGATCCCAAGCCCCTGTGGGTGCTGACTAGGCTGGAATTAGGGGCTGAGGGAGGGGTTGCCTCTCCCTCCTGGGGAAGGACGAGGCTGGAGCCTGCACCCAACAAATGTGCTCGTCCATAGCAGATGGAGCCAACCTTTGTCCCAGGTTGTGACTCAGCCTCCCCAGGAAGAACAGCATACTGTGAGGATGCTGGTCTCCCTGTGTTGTGGGAGACAGCAGCAGACATGTCCTAATAGAGAGGGAACACAGGACGGGACCGAAACAAAACAAACTGCCAGGGAACAGCCTGGCACATAATTCACCAATCCAACTTCAAGTGGGCTTCCCAGCATGTCTTCAGCCACCCCCATCTTCCACCAGCCTCTCCAGGAGGCCAGTCTTCCGAGTAAACCCAAATCAGAAAACTGATTCCCATTCTACTCTAACACTCACCCCTAGCAGCCGGCAATGGTGTGTGCTCACCCCTCCTCTCCTATGAGCACTTTAGCTCCAGCACCTCCAAACTCCTCCACCACCAGCTACATCCCCGTGCCTCCTCCACCCTCCCTGTCCTTTCCAGAACCTTCTGGTCCACAGCAGCCGGCTATCAGGAGGCCGGCTCTGGATTTACAACACCAGGGTTCTGAAGTCCATTCTGCCACCTGCATCTTGTCTGAATGTGGGTGTACCTTAACCTCTCTGTGCTCAGCCTCCTCTTTGGTAAGCGGGGTTGATAACAGCCTCCTGTTTGGAGCTGAATTGCATCCTCCTGAAATCCACGTGTTGAATCCTAATCCCTATTAGTACCTCAAAGTTGAGGGAAAGGATCTTTAAAGATGAGATTAGGTTAAAATTAAGCTGTTCAGGGCAAGGCTTTAGTCCAACATGACTGACCAGTGTCCTTAGAAGAAGAGGAAGGGACACTAAAAGCCTGAGGACACAGCAGAAAGAACAGGTGAAGACACAAGAAGAAGGCGGCCATCTGCAAGCCAAGGAGAGAGGTCTCAGAAGGAACCAACTTGACCAGCACCTTGTTCTTGGACTTTCGGCCTCCAGAACTGTGCGACAGGGAGCTCAGCTGTTCAGGCTGCCCAGTCTGCACTATCTGGCTTTAGCAGCCAGTCTGGCTAATGCACAGCCTCATAGACGGATCACTTTGCTCAGCAAAGTTCCTGGCTCCAGAGTGTCACCTACTAGTTTTCCTGCTTGTGCACATGCAGCTGTTACTGTTTACCTTTGCTACCACTTATTTGCTCAGTGCTAGTGCTGGTCAAGCAGGAAGTCCTTGTCAGAGCTGTATGATTTCTTTGAGGGCCCCGGGTGAGATTTCTTTCTTTGCTCCTAATCTATCCAAGTAACTGATCTCTAAGAGGTACCCTGAGCACATCTGCTTCCCCAAGGAACACCCATTGGATCTGTGGATTCAATGGATTCATTGACTCCATTGTGGATTCAGTATTCTTTCAATTAATTTTTAGGGTCCAGAGCAGTAAGCAAGACAGACCCTGCCCCTGCCCTCAGGGAGTTTAGCATCTGCCAGGCAGTGCTGAGACCTTGATCCTGAAATATCATTTGCTCTCAACGGGTTTCTTTTGCACTCAACCAAGAAGCAAGCAAGCAAGCTATAGACAGAGGTGCTGGTTGACTTCTGGGGATTCCAGTGTGATCAAAGATGCCACTTTGCACATGTCATGTGCCCACCACGTGCCACGTGCTTCCCAGGTCGCCTACTCAAGGTTCACAATGGTCAAAGCAGTGGCTCTATTATTATTGTTTTAGATAGATAGATGAGAACTGAGGCACAGAGAACTTCCCCAGGTCCACACAACTTGTAAGATTCCAACCCAGACAGTTTAGTATTAGAGCTCAAATGATCAGGAAGAGCATCTGCGGAGCCGGGGCAAAGGCAATCTTCTACGGTGTGTGGCTTTTCTGTTGGCCTAGCTGGGCACTATGACCTGAGGGTGGGCTCAGAATCACCTCTGTGCTATGGAGAGAACTATGGACAGTGGAGGTGGCACCTACAACACATCCCTCAGGCCTTCAGGGGCTGCAATGAACCAAATGTTTATGCTCCGTCCAAAAGAGTCACGTGTTGAAGGCCTAATTCTGATGTGATGGTATTTAGGAGTGGGGTCTATGGGAGGCAACCTGGTCCTGAGGGTAAAGCCCTCAGGAATGGCATCAGTGTCTTTTATAAGAAGAACCCAAAGAGCCAGCTTGTTCCCCTTCCACTATGAGGGTGCAGTGAGAAGCTGGCAGTCCACCAAGCAGAAGAGGGCCCTCATCAGAGTCCGATCATGTGGGCACCCTGGTCTTGGGTTTCCAGCCCCAGAATTGTAGTAAATAGACTTCTGTTGTTTATAAGCCACAGCCTCTGGTGCTTTGTTATAGCAGCCCAAACAGACTAAGCAGAACCCAGCTAAGAAGAAGGGGGTTATCTCAATTACCTCTTTTGCCTCTGGCCATGGCTCTCCCTTGGTTGATGTAGAGTCAGGACTCGTTTTGTCCATGAATACTGTGTGTCAGTGAGAGGCCAGGCATTGTGCTATGTGTGTATAAGCTCTCTGTCAGGGCCTAGGAGAGAGAGCTAAAATACCAGAGCGGGTTCCAGACCAAGCAAATAGTCTAGGGAGGGAGTGAAGAACCAGAAAGAGGGCACGGAAAACCTGATCCATAGGGGATAAGACCAGGGGCTGGAGAGAATTTGTGAAGGTTTGTGGAGAGAGCTGATCATATGCTGTGTGCCCCACCTGCCTGGGAGGAGGAGGGTGGGTTGCCCGCCTCCTGCCTCATTCCCATGGGAGCAAGTTCCATGAGGTCCTTGGAGAGCCTGGCATGTGCCCCTGATGCCAGAGGACCAGGCGAAGGGTATCTGATTCCAGCCTGAAACTCAGTTATGAGAGTAATGGGCTTTTGGGGGGCCCTGGCTGCACAGCAAACGGGGAGATATATTGTCTTATAACTTCAGGGCCCATAAAACCTAAATGCGCCCAACGGGTTAGCAGTGTGTGTGTGTGTGGGGGGGGGGGTCCCAAGAGAAAGCCTGGCATGGGTTCATCTCAGGACCTGTCCAAGAGGACAGACTGCAGGAGCAAACAGACTGTCTCCCAGAGGAGCTGGAGCACTGTCCAGGAAGGAGCAAGCCACCACCAAAGTGGGAATGTTGGCCCTCCTGGGGGGGACTGCAAAGGGGGGTTCCCAGGAGACAGCAGTAGGATCCACCAGAGCACTCCAGGTCCAGGGAGTCCACAGCCTATCCCAGATGGCATCTACACCAGGCACGAGCTCCCTGCACCCTCTCCTCCTGCCCCCAAAGTGGGGCGAGAAACCCCAGGTGGCAATAGGGATAGAAGGAGTAGAAAAGCCAAGTTGGAAAGAGAGAAACCAGCCACTTCCCCCTTCCCAATGGTGGCCTCCTGCCTGCAGCAGCCCCCCCACCCCCCCACCCCCCGCCACCACGCATGAACCCATCTGCAAAACTGGAATTTGGACTGATCAAATTGCTTACTTCAAATATGTACATTTTATTGTACTTCGATTTTGCCTCAATAAAGCTATGTGGGGGGAATGGAATTTGGGGGTTATCATTTGTGTAACAAAAGCTTTTCGTTGAATCCAAATGATTCACCTTGGAAAAAAGTTTCCAGCCAGGCATGGTGGTGCACGCCTGTAATCCCTGCAGCTCAGGAGGCTGAGGCAGGAAGATGGGGAGTTCAAAGCCAGCCTCAGAAAAACCGAAGTGCTCAGCAACTCAGTGAGACTCTGTCTCTAAATAAAATACAAAATAAGGCTGGGGATGTGGCTCAGTGGTTAAGCAACCCCAAGTTTAATTCCAAGTACCAAAAAAAAAGAAAGAAAAGAAAGAAAGAAAGAGAAAGTTTTCCTTAGAGATGGACCTTCTCTGGTTTTGTTTTAAATTATTTGGATTAAATAATTTGGATTAAAATTTTGTATTTCTACCTTATCACCCCACCTGAATAATGAGCTTTATGCCAGTAGATGCTGTGGCATATTCTCCTTTGGTCCACTCTATGGGACCTTATCACCAAATAGTCAAAGATTTGAAGGCTGATCACAGCTTTCAGAGGCTTGTCAAATGTATAAAGTGAGGTGCAGCCATAGACCAACTCGCTCCATTTTCAGGTTGCTCCAGCTAAACAAATACATAAACCATCCCCAGCCTTTTCTCTCCCTGCCTTTCCAAACAGTAGGTGATACAAATAAAAATAACACCTGGCATTTGTATAGCACTTCACAGTTTCAAAGCCACCCTTATAATCCAAAGCTACTCTCCACCCCCACACTCATCCCAGACCATTCGCCTCCCATTTCCACCCACACCTCTGCTCTTCCTGGTGGCCAACCCCGTGCCAGACTCTGCAGAGCAAGGCCACGTGCTTCCCCTGAGGAGTCCACGTGTTCTGTGAAGAGTCTCCTCATAAAGAATCAGCCGACCAGAAATGTGGGCAGAGAGCAACGGGCAGCTTGTTCAGGTTCTGTTTATTATGTTGTCACAGCCTTGTTGATAGTAAAGGTGAATGACATTATTCCACTTTACATGGTAATGAAACAACTCAATGAGGACTCCATCAGCCAAGCGGTTTATATGGCGATGAGCATCTACAAATCTGTTGTGCTGGCCAGTGACCAGCTAATGCTACCGCGGTTAGAGTGCACACGGAGCCCAGCCACCTTTTCCGCACCTGGCAGAGGGGAGAGAGCAAAAGGGTCCAAAGGGAGTAAGAATCAAGAAAGGAACAGTTATTTGAAAAGACCCAGACCCCGAACCCGGGAAGGCTAGTGGCCCCATGCTGAAGTCTCCCATCATGGCCCAGAGCATTGTGGGAGTCCTGAGAGGCCACAGGGACAGGAAGACATCTTGGCTCTTGGCTTCTTCCTCCACAGTCTCATGCCAAGTGGCATGGTGGCACAGATTCTCGGTGCCAGAAGTGACTTTGCCACCTTTCTTGTTTTAACCCAGAGGATATAGGTTTTGAAAGGGCTGACACTTGGCAGATTCAAGGCCGAGGATGGGAAACCAGGGTTCCTCTGCCTGGCTCAGAAGTGGGCAGTCTTGTTGGTGGGAGGCCATCCTGCCTCTGAATGTGCCCCTTGTCACCTTTCCCTCTGGGACATGGAGGAGCAGGCGCCACATCCGCAGCTTGTCTCTCCTGCCTGCTCCTTCCTCTTCAGTCTTCCCATCCCATCCTTCCCAAACTCTCCACACAATAGGCTCATGCCTTCCCCTCACAGCACACGGAGTTTCTCTATTGTCCTGGGCTTAGGGTCACAGGCCCCATCAGCCCCACTGCAGATCAGTGCCCAGGGCCTGCACCCGGCGGCTGGCCCTGCAATCTGGGCAGGATGCCTTCACAGCTTTGGTTTATCGGAGCAGCAAGTTCTGGAGAGAGCACCAGAGAGTCAACTAGCTAGCAGCTTCCCAGCTGCCCATCCAACCTGGGACCAAGAGGGAAAGCAGAGGGCTTGGAACAAAGACCAAACCCCCTGAGATCTTGGAAAAGCTTCCCAGATCTTGATACTCCCCAGGATGTGACACCCTCCACTGAAAAATTTGGAAGTCGTTATGTTACTACTACTACTGTCACTACCACGACACTCTGCACACGCTACCTGAGTTCCAACTACCCTATTGCATGGCCTCGGGGACAGAGGCACAGCCTGACATGAAACGGCGAAACACAGAGCATGGGAAAACAAACAGGGGACAAGGCCCAGGAGGCCAGACGGGAGGAAGCACTGCCAATGAGACTCAGAAGGCGTGGGGAGGCATGTCTTGATCAAGGTCCCCTTCAGCTCCCAGCCTGGCACACTGACTGCCAAACCACGCGTGTGCTTGGCCAGAGCACTTTGACTTCAAAGGAGTGAGTCAGACTGGGAGGGCAAAGGCAGCTACCCCAGGAGTCCCACGCAGAGCTGCCAGGTTTCCTGATCATTGTGCTTTTTGCATCTGGGTGGCCTCCAGTCCTCTCTGGCCCTGCAGCTGTTTTACCCTCAGCTGTGTCCCCCTGACTCCTCAGGCCAGTGCTTCCTGACCCCCTCTGCACACCTGAGCCACCTGTGGAGCTCTGATTTAGCTCTTCTGGAGTGGGTCCTGGTCTACCAGGTTTTTAATGCTCTCCAGGTAAGTCTAATGAGCAACCAAGTTTGAAAGCCACTGTGCTAGACCATCTTTATTCAGAGTCCACAGGTCACTACACACACGGGAGCTGATGAAAAGTGCGGATCTCTGGCCCCACTCTCCCCATTCTATAAGCTCAACACCATTAGGTGTGGAACCTGGGAATTAGCATTCATAGCAGGCCTTCGAGGTGATTCCTGTGCATGCTCAAGTTTAATAAGAGCACTGATCAGAGGATCCCTCCTCGCCCCAGTGGTGCCCAGGGTTGCTAATGGTTGTCGATGACTCTATTCTACTCAGTCCACCATGGCAAGCCGCAAAACAGGTTAGCACTCCAATGGGACCAAAAGGCCACTCAGAGATGGAGAGCAGATCTCAAAGCCCCAGCACTACCCAGCCTGCTTCTCAAGCTTGCCTTGAGCCTTCACAAGTTCCAGGACCAGACCAACCCTTGAGTCTAGAAGATGGCCATCCACACAAGCCTGGCATGAGGAGCAAAGGAAGACGTTCAATGGAACTGGCACCTGGGATGCCGGACTATGAGGTGTATGAGGCTCATGGAGGAGGAAATGGGAGAGGGAGACAGGACTGGTGACATGGAAGGTCAGGGATGAGGTATGCTTGAATATTGCTCTAGATGTTGTAAACATTTCTCTTTCATCGCAGACCAAAATCTAGGTTGGCATGACCAAAGTGCCTAAAAGTGGGCATCAGAGCAGAGACCTCTGAGCCTTTTGTGGGAATCAGGGGCTACAGGGTGTGAGGGAAGCCACCCTCACAGAAAGATCATGACTGCAATGTACTACTCCAGTGTTCACATTATTACACACACATACGCACACAGAGACGCTCCACGGGAGAACCATAAATAGATGTATCATGTTACTATATGCATGGACACACACCCACGTGCCCTTGTCTAGCTGCAAAATTCAAGACACCCAAGCATGGTCCTTCACACCTCCCATGGTGGGAGGGAGTCACCGGGGCGCCATGATACCACCATCTGCAGCCTTCGTTCCACCAGAACTTGGCAAGAACTCCAGGCCCCAGTTGAGGTGGCCACACAGCATTCTTGTTTAGAACTTTCTCCTTGGGATGGTGGAAGTGGTGAAAAGGCTCTCCTAGGACATTTCACATCTCCATATCTCTGTGCAGTCCCAATTTATATGCACCTCATCTTCGACAGTAGAGTTGGCAGCAGATGCACTTTTCATATGTAAACAATTTTCAAAATACCCTGTTAGAGAATTAATCATTAAGTTAGTTCTGGCAGCTTTAGCTAAGGATTGTTTTTGACCATGGTGGGGAGATACGATCTGATCTATTTGGGAATACAATGTGAGGCTTTTGAGTTTTTGAACATGAACTTCCACAGGTCTCTTCAGTGTGAAGCCTAGGAAGCAATTGTCCTCTCTCTCCTGAAGTTCACATAGACTTTGCCAACCCCCACTTACAGATGACAAGGTGCCATGGCACAGCAGCAGGCACTATCACTAGTGGGATTCAAGGGCCTTCTTGGCCTTTTGTGGTTGGTATTAAGGAAGGGAGTGATTCTCAAAGTTACTGGGCAGGAATGCAAACCCTGGAACCCCAGTATAATCTAAAATAACCTAGCACCCCACAAAAGAAGAGTGCTCCATCAACCAGTTCTTCATCCCTGTACTCCAGAGTGTGTGTGTAATCGTGCAAATCCACTGTCAGCCACGCCAAAATGTTTGTAGATCTGAAATGAATCCAAATCCACTGATCATAAATTATCCCAGTAGCACCTCCACCACATTCTTGGTAAGTCAGTTCCCCTGGATACGAGCGTCTTCCAGGATCTTCTTTCACCTTCTGATCGTTCTGCTGAGGATTCATTCCTTTGACACTGCTCTTGCAGCAAAGTCAGCTTTTTCCTGGGCAGCCAGAGAAGGTTCTGTGTTGCTCATTCATCCTCCAACGAAGTGTTTCCTGACACATTTCCAAAGTAGCCCCAGGGTACCATGACAGCTTTGTTGGAAGGTCTCCACAGCCAGGTGTTCACAGTGATCTTCTTAGCCACACTTATTTAATGTTTAATCCCAAAGACCAGAGACCAAGAAGAAAGTTGTTTCCTAGTAGCCAAGAGAAGGATCTTTCTAAGAAAGCATGTTCCCAGGAAGCAAGCTGCAAGGAGTTCTGGTCCAATTTCCCATTCTCCCCCATCATAATTACATAGCCTGCATGGAAGGGGGACGTGGAGAGACAGGGAAAATATTAGGCACTGGGAGAGCTGTCATGCTATGGGATTCACCTCCTTTTGCCAAGCTCTCTGTCATCCTAAAAGATCGGTGATGTGTGATGCCACAGGGAGGCGAGGGCAGAGAATGCATTAAGCAACAGACACAAAATTCTACTGGTGCTACATTCCCTGGTCATTCTGCATCTGGAAAAGTTCTTGGTAGAACTGAGGAAGATTCTCAAACTGTGTCTTTCTTAATGACAGCTTCACTCAGAAGTTCCGAAGGAAATCTCCCAAGACCCTTTCTGGAAATGGAAGAGTAAGGAAATCTTACAAATTTCCTAGGCCAAGATGGGCAGTGATCACAGATTCTCACACTGGTCCGATGGAAATGGAAGGAAGAGCCAACTCCGTGGAGTTTACCCTCTCCCAGAGGTCACCTGTCAATGTGCTAGAAACCTGGGACTCCATATGACAATCCTAAAAAAAAACTGGATTCTGCAGAGACTTCTCTCCTAAGCTGTGAGGTCCCAGCACCCTAGGCTGGCCACTATGTTGTGACAGCAAATCACAAGAGAGAGGCCAAATCTTCCAGCTACTCCTCCCAGGGTCCGGGACAAGTGGAGAGTCAGGAATCCTAACTGGAGAGGGTGTGGAGGTGGTGGAAACTGCATTTGCTCTATTTACAGATTAGCCTAGCACAGCGGATCTGCCTTCTCAGTGGAGATGACCCAAGGCATTATAAAGGGCAAGTTGCTGACCCAGAGAAGGGTGACAGCGGCAGGGTGCTACCACTAACCAAACACAAACGTGGGTAAATGGAAGAGTCCAAGCTCTGGCAGCTGGGTCACACTTTGGAATGGCCCTTCGTTCCCTCCTCACCCCCAGCCTCCCACCCCAAATGCCACTGCCTTTGAACATCCATGACAATTCACATTAGATTATGGTCTTGGCAGCGAGGGGAGGGGAAGGCCAGTGATTTCCAAGAGTCCCCATCTGAGGTCTAACTGAGCCTCCTCTGGCTTTGGGACAGCAGATCTAAGTACATTTTGGACCTCAGGAACCTAGGGTAAGAGTCTTTCTCCATGAGGCTGTGTACTTTTCCCTGGGCCTGGTCAAAGCAAGTCAGGGACGGCTCTTGCATGTTCTTCCTTGTGGCTTCTCGGGTCTGGAAGTCGATGTTTACCTAGAGACACAAACAGAGAGCAAGTTCACAAACCCCCAAGGGCCAAGCTATGTGATTATCACTAATGATAGCATCTTATATCTTTAAGGTGATATAGGCTTTTTAAGCTGCCATCATGGATCTCATCTCTGGGGATCACAGCAGGAATCCTGTGCCATCTGAAGACCAGATAGTCTTAGTTTTAATTCGTAAATAAGGACACTGAAGAAAAGAGAGACTGCAAAGCTTGCCTCGAGTAGAAGGAAAAGTTAGGAACAGAGTCAAATTTTAAAACCCCAAATCAATTTACTTCTAATTCAAACATCTTGATTTCAGGAAAGGGTTAGAATCAAGCCAAGTGTTAATGCAGGGTCTCTGAAGTCAGCTTTCCCGACTGTACTTTCGTAACTAGTGCTCTGTAGAGAAAGACCCTGGTCAGAATGTACGGCTCTATTCCAATCAGCATTATAAGGATCCTCTAGCATCCTATTCACCTGGTGAAGACCTCATGCACTCCCCAGCCAATACATAATTGAAGAGCTCCAAATATGCAGCACTCCTGCATTCATAACAAGTATTTTATTCAGTTAAAACTCTCCCAAGTGAAATTCTGCAGGATAACTCAGAATGGCATTTCACAGAAATTCACCTCACTATACATAATTATAAAAAAATATATAAGGTCTGGGATTGTGGCTCAGCAGAAGAGTGATCGCCTCACATGTGTGAGACCCTAGGTTCAATCCTCAGCACCACTTAAAAATATATGAATAAAATAAAGGTTCTATGTCCAGCTACAATTAAAAAATAAATATTTAAAAAATATATATAAATAACTCTAAATGTTCATTAATGAGCAGTGGCAAATATTGAATAGGTGCTTTATCTCTAACAGAGTAGTCTTGAAAGACAGGTGATATTATTCCCTTTTACACTGAGGAAAATGAGACTCAGAGAGATTGAGTAAATTGACCAAGATCATACAGCTAGTTAGTGGTGGAGCTGAGTGAGATTGGAACCAAATCCCAAAAGCAGAGCTTATTCCATTAAACTCTACTGTCTTGTAGTAGGATAACAAACAAACATGGACTCAGTGGCATCTACTCTTGCAAAATCCCTATAGCAACACAGTTCCTGATAGCATATGTATGACAGAGAGCTTCTGCTCCTAAAAAATAATCCCTTTTCATTGAGAGTCACCAGAGTAATGAGGCTCAGTTCAGTAGAAGAAAGTCCTCATCACACCTGCATCAAACCCTCTCCAAGGAGAGAGATGTGGGCCAGGAGCCATGGACAGAGGTCTGACAAGATGGGTGCCCTGGCCAACACACCTCCCGTGGAGCCTGCACATCCACAAACTCCTCAAAGATCCTGTGGGCCTTGGAGACCAGCTTGGCGGTTGACCTGGTCTTCTTGAACTCCTCACAGGCCAGCCAGAACTCCAGGTTCTCCTCGCTGAACTCAGTCTTCAGGAAGGCGCGGAAGGCGGCCACCCCATCTAAGGAAGGGAGGGAGATGGAGAGAAAAGAGATAGGACAAACTTAAGTCCAAGAACTAGAGAAGATAGAGAGGTAATAATTATGTGGGGGTGCCCCTAAGGGTCCAAGCTCACTGATGCCCACCCCCTTGACGACTGCTTTCTCTGACACACAGGAACCCTGAGAGCAAACTGTGCTTCTCGTCCAAGGATCAGAGCGATACCAGGGAGGAATGTTCAAAAAGCCATAATCATAAACATGGGGAGGCCTGGCCACATCTAATCAGCCCTCAGTGTTTATGACCCATTCCCTAATGCAGGGTCGGTGGTCCCTGGGGCTGCTGGTTGCTAATTAGGCCAAGGTAATATAAGCATTCCATACTCTACTCTAATCCAAGTCAATACCCTGAGAAAACACACGATCTGCTGCTGCAAGACAAACTAGAGGCGAACATGTGTATCTCAGAGCCAGTCAGTGACCAGAAAAATATCTGAGTAAACCCCTACCAAAATTCATTTGGTAATGCCATCCTGCTGCATGGACCCTATTCCCAGCCTCTTTTAGAAAACCTTTGAGGCCCTGTTTTTTGATGTTTTATTCCATATATTCTTTACTTAAGATTTGCCTATCAAATTATGTTTTAATTGAGGTAGATTATAATTTTCCTACCAAATAATTTAGCAATTATCATCCCCTTTCATTCTTATTAATCAGTGTCATCCACATTGCCAAGCAGAGCTTTCGATCGGCACAAGGTGATCAGGGTCACCACATCAAGTCCAGAAGGAAAACAGCATTCATTTACACCCTGTGCTTTCAGTTAAATGTTTTTATTTTAAATATTTTTTTCATGAATTATTTTAACCCTTAAGGCTCCCCTCTAATCCAGGAACAGCTACAGCTTTCCATATACTGTCCTCAGAAGAGGAGCAGATACAACCCAAAATAAAGAAGTGCCACAGTGGTTAAAAGTGACTCTGGTATTAACTTTTATTTCTTTTCTGAAGTTCACTAGGAGGACCAACTGTTCACAATTCTTAATTCTAGATGATGATGATGACGACTTGGACATCTGATGTCCATGGATATGTACCAGGTCAGGGTGTTGGCTAGGATCATTGAATAGGTTGTCGGCATCAGGTAGTTAATATATTTAAATGTTTGTTTTTTGATTTTTTGATACATTTTTATTCCTCCTAATTAAAAATAAATCATTGTATGTTTTTGTCTTTCAAAACAGACGTTCTAACGTCCACCCTGGAACAGTCATAAAAGCCAAGACTTTGCATCGCAAGAACCAGGGACTTGAGAAAGACGAGGGTTTTCATGGGGCTCCTGAAAGCCAAGCTTTAAATCACAAAGAGATTTGAGTTTTGAGATCTGAATTTAACGTGTTTTAGAAAAGTAGGGTGGCTGGTTAATTTACCATCCACACCTGGACATCTCTGCAAGTGAAGGATGTCGTGTTAATGACATGGGGACAATCTGCATAAACCAAGACCATCACAGATGACACCCAGAGCACATGGTCGCCAGACTCTGAGCCATGGAGAGAGGGGACAGTAGGGTATAGTGTAGGGTTACTTCCCATCAGCAGGATGGAAGTAAAATCATTCCCGTACCTGGGGAGGAACAGGAGAGGGACATGGTTTAGGCTAAAATGAGAAGTCTATTCAGGGCACCTCCCACCCACCCCATTCCCCCACTGGGGTCAAAACTCTAGAAGGGAGTAGGAATCCATGATACATTGGGAATCCCAGCAACCACAGAACAGTAACATGGCAACATTTAGGCAGAGATGGCCTGAGAATCATGCACTCAATTCAAGTGGTACTTGAATTGACTAATGTGAAAAGTACTGACCAAGGTCTCTGGATATATCAGAGAACAAATCATAAAATCACTTCCCATTAAATCTCTCTTGGATGCTTTCTTTGATACCCCTCCCACACTGGGGCCTCTCCAAATTTCCCATATGGAGATTCAGAAGTTTCCAGAGGTGGCAGAGTAAACTTGGGTCTGAGAGCAAGCATGCCTTCCAGAAGGTCTCCGCTGCCTGGACCAGCCTTCCAAGGACATCCAGTGCCCTCCGGTTCAGCAAGGAAAGACTCTGAGCAGTGACCACAGAGGACCTGAGAAGACCTGGGGCCCCCAGGCCAGAGGTCTGTCCACCTGCCTCCATCTTTTCTTTCCAGGCTTGTTTTTTGTTAAGTAAACTTATTTTTTTAATCAATTTTTTTAAGAGAGAGAGAGAAATTTTTTTTTAATATTATTTTTTAGTTTTTGGCAGACACAACATCTTTGTTTGTATGTGGTGCTAAGGATCGAACCCGGGCCACACGCATGCCAGGCAAGCGCACTACCACTTGAGCCACATCCCCAGCCCCATAAACTTATTTTTAATTGGTACATAAAAATATAAAAATCGTACATATTAGTAGGGTAATGAAATGTTTCATGCATGGATAGATTGTGTAATGTTTAAATCAGGTTAAACTCCTGAAACATTTATCATTTCTTTTTTTTATATTTATTTTTTAGTTTTTTAGGTGGACACAATATCTTTATTTTACATTTATGTGGTGCTGAGGTTTGAGCCCAGGGCCACATGCATGCTAGGCGAGCACTCTACCACTGAGCCACAACCCCAGCCCCCATTTATCATTTCTTGACAGTAAAAACTTTCAAAATTCTTTCTTCAAACTTTTTTAAATGTACAGTATATTTTACTTCCTATGTAGTCATGCTATCATGCATGCAATAACACCCTAGAAATTCTTGCTCCTATCCAGCTGTAGCTGAGTACCCACTGACCAGTCTTTCCTGATCCCTCCTCCACCTCTGGTTACCAGCACCCGACTCTGTGAGGCCAACTTGCTCAGAAACCACCTCTGAGGGAGCTGGTGGGCCTTGTATCTGTCTTTACACACTTCCCATGAGGTCGGAGAGTAGGAAGGAAAGGGGAGTCAGAAGGGCCTCTGAGCCTATGTGTTCACCTAGAAGAGGAACTGGAAAGGGACTCATGAGAGTCTATTGTTTTTAATCTCAAAGTGACAAAGTTCCTTGAATGGGAGAATTTGTGTTGGATTTTATTTTGTTTTTCACCAAACAAAAACAGGTGTTTGTGAGCAAGTTGAATGTAGTTAAAGATAAGGAAGGGAAATTCCCTTGCTGCCTTCCTCCATGGTATTGGTAAGGACATCCTTGTAAGGAAGCTCTGTCCGGCCCTAGGGGAGACAAGGTTCATACAGACTCTCTTCTAAACTAGGTCTCAGCTTTGGTGGGCCTTGTGTGGATTAAAAGAAATAACACCTGCAAAGTGCCCCCCCCCCAAGAGAGTTACCGTCCTTCTTCCTATTTTACAGAGGAGGAAGTTGATGCTGAGAGAAGCCGCTGGCCTGATTTCACACAACCAATAATATGTCGCATTAAATTTAAGGTAAACACCATGCCTGTAACCCCAGCGGCTTCGGTGTCTGAGGCAGGAGGACTCCAAGTTCAAAGCCAGGCTCAGCAACTTTTCAAGGCCCTAAGCAACTTAGCAAGACTCTGTTAAAATAAAAAATAAAGTGGCTGGGGATGTGGCTCAGTGGTTAAGCTCCCCTGGGTTCAATCTCTGGTACCAAAACAAAACAACAACAACAAAAAAAAAAAAACTTAAGGTATACTAACCCCAATTCCATGTAGTAATGATGCCATTCTCGTGGATTTATTTATTCATTCACCCTCAGATGAACTGGCCTTCTGCTAAGTGCTAAAAGCAGACACAGCAGCAGGGTGTCCTATATACACTTGCCATCAAAGGGCAGTTTGAGCCAACAAAACATAATTGGGGCAACATGACAAAGTGTGATAAGCTATACAATAGGGAAAGTACCTAGGGCTAAGAAAGGGCCTAGGAAGGGCACCTGGGCCAGCGCTGAAGCAGGAAGGAAGATCAAAAGAAGAAACAAGCTTTTAGGCTCAGACAGGAAGTTAAGAAGGAAGCTAAGAGAAAGAAGGAAGGGAAGATAGAGAATTTCAGGAAGAGGGATCCACATGCATAAAGGCTAGCATTAGGAAAGTTCATTTGAGTAATTAGAGTTAGAAATACCAGTGTTTGATAATAATCAAATGGCTAAAAATGATTGGGCTTTTTAGAATGGGCTTTTGCCAAGAGGCCCATGAACGAGCCAGAGGGATGGGAGGCCTGAACAGCCCTGCAGATGGCCAGGGAAAGATCACTACCAGGACGAGGAGTGGCTCCTGGGTCTAGGGCTACCCAGAGCGCTAAGCCAGGGTTGTTAGAGCCATGCAGTCACAGCGGGCCGGGGACCTGGTCATACTGTGGTAAGGATAGTGTGACTGAGAGGGAGGAAGTGGAAACCGTCCATTCAGATGTGTCTTGCAAGAGCTGAGAAGGAAGAAGAGAGATGAACCAGCAGAGCTGAGAGGGAGCCATCAGGAAAAGACTTGTGCTGCTTATTGGTTTGTTTATTAAGTTAGCTTTAGGTCTGTTTAAAGGTTGATCGGATCAGAAAAGGCTTTCTTGAGCAAGATGAATTGAGGTTAAAGGAAAGAAAGGTTAATTTAAAAAAAAAATGCTGCCTCTAGGAAGGCAGAAGAAATAGGTCTGAAAGCAGAATTATGAGGGTGAGAAAGAGGAAAGGCCATGTGTGAATGCAGAGAAGTTTCTAGCATTAGGTGGGAAATTGAAGGAGTTGTCTGCTGTTGGCTGGGGAAGGAGGGAGGAGTTAGGGAAGGCAGAGTCTTTCTTCTTACTTATTTATTTAGGATTTGGGGTAGGGGCTTTATTTATTTACTATATATCATTGGTAGCTTGGGATTTTACAAAACCCCAGCTCAGTTTATTTTCACAACGCTGTTCCATAGATACCATCACCCCCATTTTCCACAGGAAGAAACAAAAGTTTAGAGAAGTTGATTCAATTGCTCAATTACTCCATTGGTAAGAGGAGAACCAAGATTTCCAGCGGGTTCCGCGTCACTCCAAAGTAAACTCTTTCCAGATGTGTTTGCC